TGATAGTGACCATATGGCCTCTACTAACGTCTACTAACGCTTTTGGACGGAAAAAAACACTTCGTTGGTGTTATTTGATCAGTATTTGCTTTTTGGAACCTGGCCCAGCCTCGCTTAAGCAATACCACGTTCTCAGTGTTAGTGTTGATGTTGATAGTGACCATATGGCCTCTACTAACGTCTACTAACGCAATTGAACGGAACAAACACTTCGATGGTGTTATTTGATCGGTATTAGCATTTTGGAACCTGGCCCAGCCTCACTCAAGCAATACCACTTTCTCTGTGTTAGAGATAATGTTGATAGTAACTATATGGCCTCTACTAGCGTCTACTAACGCAATTGAACGGAACAAACTAGTCTTTGGTGTTATTTGATCAGTATTTGCTTTTTGGAACCTGGCCCAGCCTCTATAAAGAAATACCACGTTCTCTGTGTTAGTGTTGATGTTGATAGTAACCATATGGCCTCTACTAACGTCTACTAACGCAATTGAACGGAACAAACACTTCGTTGGTGTTTTTTGATCGGTATTAGCTTTTTGGAACCTAGCGCAGCCGCACTAAAGCAATACCACGTTCTCTGTGTTAGTGATGATGTTTATAGTGACAATATGGCCTCTACTAACGTCTACTAACGCTTTTGGGCGGAACAAACTCTTCGTTGGCGTTCTTTCATCAGTATTTGCTTTTTGGAACCTGGCCCAGCCGCGCTTGAGCAATACCACGTTCTTTGCGTTAGTGATGATGTTGATAGTGACCACATGGCCTCTACTAACGTCTTCTAACGCTTTTGGACGGAAGAAACACTTCGTTGGTGTTTTTCGATCGGTATTTGCTTTTTGGAACCTGGCCCAGCCTCGCTTAAGCAATACTACGAACGTTGTGTTAGTGATGATGTTGATAGTGACCATATGGCCTCTACTAACGTCTACTAACGCAATTGAACGGAACAAAGACTTTGTTGGTGTTATTTGATCGGTATTAGCATTTTGGAACCTGGCCTAGCCTCACTAAAGCAATACCACGTTCTCTGTGTTAGTGATGATGTTGATAGTGACCATATGGCCTCTTCTAACGTCTACTAACGCAATTGAACGGAAGAAACACTTCTTTAGTGTTATTTGATCAGTATTTGCTTTTTGGAACCTGGCCCGGCCTCGCTGGTGCAAGACTGCGGCCGTGGTGATAGTGAATGATATTGATAGTGACGAGATGGCCTCTACTAATGTCTACTAACGATTTTAGGACGTTTTCTCTTTTGGCACGTTTTTTCGGAAGTAACTGAACATGTGAATGTGGCCCGCCTTTTGGGTATTTTTTTAAAACGCACTTGGGTGTGTATACTAACGGCCGCATTGGGTCTACAATCATGTACTAACGATATACTAACGATTGCAGAAGGAAATTTGTTGCAGGCTGTGTGTGGGCGGGCTACCTTCGCGGACCTGTATAAGCCAGTTGTTGAAAAGGAGCAGCTGTGCATTTCAACTGGGGCCTATGTTGTTGTCAGACTTGCAAGGAATCGGTATGTAGGTCTGATAACAGACATATACAATGAGGAACAAGAAGTGGATATCTCGCTGCTCATGCCCAGACTGCCATCAAAGGCCTTCCGATGGCCTTCAGAGGTAGAGACAGCAACAGTTCCAATACCTCACATTCTGTGTACCACTCAACTGATAGAAACAAATGAAAATTGTTCTTTTTCTGCCTTTAAAATTAAAAGAATGGTGTCTTTGAAAATTATCAAAAAGTAGTTTTATTTTAAACTTAAGAAATACAATTATAAAATTAAGAAAAACAAACTTTTGTTTTATTTTCTTTGCCCTAGCAAAGGGCTGACCACTGGTCCTTTGCAACCCTCCGGCAGGCTACTCTGTTGTCTGCAAAGCCCAGCCTCAGGCTGGGCCAGCGAGCGCACGGAGCGCGGATTGCCTTTGTTTTGTTTGCGGCGGTAGCGAGACGAGATAGGCCACCAGTCGGACACGCATGTGTTGCGGTACGGCTTGGCCTACCGGGCAGGCGCTAAAAGGGCACGCTAGGGAACAGCAGCCGGCGCAAAAGGCCAGCGTCACTGCAACTTACCGCCCAATGCCTCAGAATGAAAAGCCCAGAAGCAAAATCGCACAACTTTTAGTCCAAAAAAAATTGCCTGACTTTGAAGTGGAATATCTCCGGAACGGTTCGTCGGAAAAATCTGGGGTTGTCATTTTTGTATTCAGCGGATCTTTCTGCGTAAGATTAGCCCAGTTTCAATAAGATCGGGTAGTTTAAACTGCAAAATCCCAAGATTTGGGACTTTTTATGTTATTTTTCGAGAAAAAGTGAGTTTTCCCCATGAAAAAATTGTTTGAGGTCAAATCTGACGGCACGATCGTGTTCCTCGTTCAATTTTGAATCTAAAACCCGAATCTGAAACCAATCGGACAAAAAGTCCCTGAGATATAAGAAATGCCCAAAAAAACTTAAAATCCGCATATCTCCCAGAGAAATTTTTTTTGAGGTCTGAAATTTTGGCCATGAACTCCCACCATGGGGGGCTGGCTACTAACCACCAAAAAATCAGCGAAATCCAAGGGGGTCGTTGTAAGGTCCTGCTTTTCTTAAAGAAACCTGCTCTCATGGGACAAAAAAAGTCCCATTACATACTAAATGTCATTCATTGAACTCTATCTTGTCCCACGGACAATTTTAAGAAAATTCGATGGTGATACAACTTTTTGTCCGTCGGGAGAGGCAAAAGTAAAATTTTCATCAGATCCTCCCAGGTGCGCAGAACAGGAAGCGCTTCAGGTGGGAGCCCCCCGCTAGCGGCGGGAGCCGGGGTGAACAAAGGGGATTGTCAGACTCGGCCAAGGCATGTAAGGGTGAACGGCCAAAAGCTGCTCCCGCTACATGCCCAGATTCTGTGGGCGTATGAATCCGGTCTACCGCGAGAAAACCACTCCTCTCAGTAAGGACGACCCGTCACCTGCTGGTGAATCACCGACATGGTGGGGCGGGCCTGAAAGCCGGACAATCGCAATCACTTAAAGATAGGCACCTGCTGGTGAATCACAGATATGGCGGGCGGGGCGGGCCTGAAAGCCAGACGAGGGGGGAGGTAGAACATCCTGAAAATGTGATGACGTACCCTAAATGCTCTTTCACCTTGGAAAAGTTCAAATCTTCTAAATGTCGCCGGGTTCAGCTCTACACTGGTTCAAGATCGGCTTGTCACGGCAAATGAAGGCAAAATTCTCCGTGGAGTCGCCGAGCGAGGAGTCGCGATTATCCCTCGTCTACCTGAGCGCGCGGGGATGGCCAGTGGTATCGGCAGGAGCGCTAGTCCCGGACCCCTTAACGTCTCCGCAGCACAGTTGGCAGCGTATCGATCTGAGAACTCTGCGGCCCGGGTTCAACTCCTGACTGACAAACTATAGCATCTACTAACAAAGAGAAAAAGAGAGAGAGGAGAGAGAGAGAGAGAGAGGGGGGGGGAGTACGGGGTAGATAAACTAAAAACCTCTATCAATTTAAAAATTTGAATAATTCTTTTCTTTTCCAAAACCGTTTTTTGACGAAACTGTTGTGTACGAAGGTCGGGGTGAGTCTGAACACTGTGGCAAAAAGGTACGGAAAATTCCGTTAATTTTTCTGCGAGGATTCTCTGTAGCCCTCTTATCAATATTCTCCGTAGGCTCTTACAGTATTTTCCGTAGGGTCATACAGTATTCTCCGTAGGACCACACAGTCTTCTCCGTAGGACCTGGAAGACTGTTTAGTCCTACGGAGATCACTGTAAGGTCCTACGGAGAATACTGTGCGGCCCTATGGAAAATACTCTAAGAGCCTACGGAGAATATTGACAAGGGGTCTACGGAGAATTACCACAAGCTGTTTACAGAACTTTCCGTTGCTTTTCGCCACAGTGAAACACAGGGAAAGTCGGATGTGTAGTTTCCGCACAAGGACCGAAACATAAAATTTGTGTCATCTGTAAGATCCATTATTATTTTAATTTTTTTTAAAGAGGTGAAAAGTGAACGCGCGTCCCAGCTTGAAGGGTCATCTTGCGGTACTCCAGATGCTATTCAGACCAAAATTAGCCCCGAAATGAAAGTTTCATTTTTCAAATTTGTGGCACTCACACTGTTAAATTTTTTTTCTGAAAATTCAGACCAAATAGTCAAAAGGAGATTTTCAGGGAGTTCTGCTTCAGACATAACTTTAAACCCACATAACCGTTTATCCACATAATTGTTGACAGACATAACCGGCTACAGACATAACTGGTGTCAGACATAAAAAATTCCAATGCTAACGCATTGCACGGTGTTCCGGTTCGACACCTGAACAGAAGACCCGGCTATCTTTTCAGAGCGATTTGAGAACCGGCTACCTTTTCAGAGCGATCCGAGAATCGGCTATCTTTTCAAAGCGACCTGAGAACCGGCTATCTTTTACGAGCGATCCGAGAACCGGCTATCTTTTCAGAGCGGTCCGAGAACCGGCTAACTGACTTTTTTTAAGAAATTGAGTTTCTTACATTAATCGATAGAACAGGTGATGCGGATTATTTTAATGTAAGAAACTCAATTTCTTAAAAAAAGTCAGTTAGCCGGTTCTCGGACCGCTCTGAAAAGATAGCCGGTTCTCGGATCGCTCGTAAAGGTGGATCCACAATGAGCAGTTTGTAGTTTGTAGCCCGCAGTTTGCAGTTTGCAGTCCAATATGGCGTAGGGTGTTTTAATGGGGGTACACACAACGGCGGTTTGAAGTCGGCTGCTTGCAGTTTGATGCCTGCTGTTGTAGTTGCGCCGTCAGAAAATCCATTTCTGACTGCAAACTACACGACGGCCAGCCACAGACCGCACGACATGGACCAATCAGAACGCGTCGTGAGGTCACGAAAACAATTGAACACTGCGTGATGCTGTTTCCGGCAGTTTCTAGACAGGATTGTGCTTGTTGCTCAAGTGTTTGTTTTGGATTTGATTTGATTTGTGGTTAGTAAAATGGCTGAGGAGCTGGATGACAATCTTGCTGAACTTTGCGTCTTCGTTGACCTGGTGCAGGCTAGGCCGTGTCTTTACGACACGGAAAATGTTAATTATAAAAAGAAGACTTTCAAGGAAAATGCTTGGCGCCTGATAGGTGAAGCAATGGATTGGGAAGGTATTGTTTACACTGGTTTCCAATTTTCTTTCTAGGCATTTCGTGTGAAACCTAATAACTTTTTTACCTCTAGGTGATGAGAAGACATCACTCGTAGAAGTTTGCATTAGACAATGGAAAAGTATCAGAGATGGGTTCAACAGGGCGATGAAGAAATTGCCATCGGGCTCTGGAACGCCTGTCAAAGACACGAGGATGGCTCCTCTCTGGCAGAAGTGCTCATTCCTTCAAAATGTTAAAACCAAGAACACCAGGAAGTAAGTATAAAATACGATTATTCGGAGTGTACTAGCCTACAAGTTTGTATTGACCGTTTTATTTTGTTTCAGGACATTTTCAAACTACACCAAAAAGAGGAAGATTGGTGAATCCAGTGATGAAACATCACAACCAGCAGGCGATTGGGGTGGTCTCGACACTATTTTTGTTTCAAATGATGATGGTGTGGAAGAAGAGGTGAGTTTCAAGAAATGGTACTGAATAACATGTAAAATATAGTTTATTGATCACGACAATACTTAAGAATAATTGTGTCCCTTGAAATGAAAATACTCTAGTTTTTGATAATCAAATTCCTGTACAGGTTGTGGAGCGCAACGATAGCGCAGCAACTCAAGCAGGCAATGCAATTGATGATGCCGATGCTGGACCTTCTTCTCACATGTCTGAGTTTGAGACGACCCAGCTTCAGAAGCCCAAGAAGAAGCCTGCCCCTGCACGCATCAACCCTCCATCTGAAACTTTCAGTAAAAAAAAGGTAGAAAGTACAAAAAAATTTGAAGAAATGGTGAGTGAGGGTTTTAAGACATTCAATGCTTTAGCCCAACGCCAAATGACGGCACCCACCAAAGATTCTAGTGCAACTACACTCTAAATATGGGGTGCCCAGCAATTGGGCGCCTTTATCGCCCGCCCCACTTTTTAGGGTGCCAAATGTCGCCCAGTTTCTGGGCACCTTTGTCACCCAGTCTCGGGGTGGACAAATCATACAGTAACCGGCCCTCTCCCATGGTAGAGCATGCTCAGGTGTCTAGATCCTGAGCGACCAAGGTGCCTAGATTCTGGGCACCTTCGGCACCTCAGTCGCTGCTGAGCCATGGGTGAAGGCAGGTTTCTTAAGGGTTTGTCCACCCCGAGACTGACTGTCAAAGGTGCCCAGGAACTGGGCGACATTTGGCACCCTAAAAAGTGGGGCGGGCGACAAAGGCGCCCAGTTGCTGGGCACCCCATATTTTGAGTGTACTGGTGCTAGTGCAAATGCTGCTTTTGCGGACTTGATTCGTATGGAGTTAGATGATTTACCAAAGGATGTGCAGAGCAAAATTCGTAAGGAATTACTAATTGTTTTGGAGAATAAAAAAAATGAATTTTGTCAGGGATAATTTTTCTAAAGAAGTGTTTTTGTAAGTGGGGACAGTTACATTTTGTTATTGTTTATTCATATATTTTATTTTATTCCAAGACTGATTTCTTTTAGAAATGTGGTTTGTTAACAAAGAATGTTAACATTATGGTGTTAAGCCAAGCTTTCTGTGATTTTTTTTTAACTTTATTTGTAGTATTAAAGACTGAAAAGTTCCCAATATTGTAACAGTTTCATTTTTTGTACACTGACAAACTGAAATTAAGCAAACATTAAACATGTGATGCATATCAATTTTTACTCACTTTTATTCATATCCTTCCCAGACAATCCGATCCTGCCAGTCGACTGCCCCTTCTTCAGACACCAGGTACTGAGCAACCTGATCTCTCATTCGTATTATTTGAACACCAGCTCTATTGGCCCCAATTCTTCCTATGGGCCTGAACAAAGGGGCATCATCTTGAGGATCTGCTCTCCATGCTCCATCAATTCTGCGACCTTGTCCATCTTCCCTATCAACATAATTGGGAGGGCAGTACTGTGAGGTTCCCTCTTCTTGAGTGGTGATGACAAAGTTGTGAAGGCATATTGCAGCTTTTAGATAGGAGTCTACTGTCTCAGGCAGTGCTTGAATCCTCTTGCGGAACAACCTCCACCTCCCAACAAGAATGCCAAATGCATTTTCAATGCACCTTCGTGCTCGAGAAAGTCTGTAGTTGAACACTCGTTGCTCTTCGGTGAGGCTTTTACCAGGATAAGGCCTCAGGATATTTTCACTCAGAGGGAATGCCTGATCTGCTACCATCCAATGTGGGAAATGCGGCTCCCTTGTGAAAGGCATAGGTTGTTCTGGAGGGAGGTCTAAATTTCCTTCAAGAAGGTCCCTACCAAATTGGGAATTCATGAAAATACTAGAGTCACTTTGTGAGCCTGCAACAAGAATAAGCAAAATTGTATTTATGTTGTTTCAAGAGCAAGCCTGCAATGACAAGTCAAAAGTATAATAGAGAACATCTTACCATAGGATCCCAAGTCAACATAAGTAAAGCGGTACTTTGCATCACACATAGCCATAAGGACAGTGCTGTGGCTGCTGTAATGGTTATTGAATGTCACAGAGCCAGCATTAGGTGGACAAATTATTTCAACGTGCTTCCCATCTACAGCACCTAGGCAGTTTGGGAAATTCCAGAGTTCCCAGAACTCTCTTGAGATTCGAGGCCAATCCTCCCTTGACGGAGTCTTCACATAAATTGGGCTCAAAGCCTCCCAAATTGCATCACAGGTCTCTCGGACAATGTCATTGACAGTTGAGTGACCTCGTCTGTAGGCCTCAGCTAAGGTAATGAGGTTGCCACCATGCGCAAGGTATCTGGAAATAAAATCTTACTTTATATTTATATAGTAGTCGAACAGTTAAATTAGTGCGATTAAAATGTACCTGATGGTAATGGCAAGCCTTTCTTCAGGAGGTACTGGTTTACGCATAGAGAAACGTCTCAGACGAGGCCCCACTAACTTCAAAAGTTCATCAAATTGCCACACTTCCATCCTGGTGTACCGAAAGAAACGGTCATGGCTGGTATTTTTGTACGGAAGGAACAGTTTAGCATACTCCCCATCTTCTTCAATCAGTGTAGGGTGCCTCCACCACCTCCGAATACCACCACGTCGCCGCCGTTTTAGCACCAAGACACTCAACGTCAGCAGAATGAGGGCTGCCCCAAATGTTTCCAAGGGAACATCGTTGTTATCCATGTCAAAAATCAATAGCACAACCTGTCATTTTCATCTATGCGACTCGCGACCTGTTCCAACTTGTTCGGCAAACCGCGGTAGATGGGGTAGATGATGTAAACAAACAGCAGACGATTCACTGCCTTGTCGCAATAGTTTAAACGTTCCCAACTCTCTGACTGCACGCGACAACCGCCCGTTGTGGATCAGAGCCCTTGCTAAACTACAGACTACAAACTACAACTGCTAACTGCAGCGACCAGCTACCGACTGCAGACCGCTCATTGTGGATCCACCTCAAAAGATAGCCGGTTCTCAGGTCGCTTTGAAAAGATAGCCGATTCTCGGATCGCTCTGAAAAGGTAGCCGGTTCTCAAATCGCTCTGAAAAGATAGCCGGGTCTTCTGTTCAGGTGTCGAACGGTTGTGGAAATGAATTTGAAGTCTGTCGTCTAAACGTTAATTTTACCGTTATTTACGTAACTTTGAATCCTACCGGCATTTTTACATCCCCAAACCTGATTCAGTTAACACAATGACCATCTCAGTCCATCTCGCGATCTCGCGATTTACAGGGCTCATGTTCGTCAAACGAAAAGCATCCGCGTTTCGAAACCACCTCTCCCGAGTTTATAAAGTTCGTCAAACCAACGTCGTGCTGGAGGAAAACATCACAAGAGAACCGCAACCTTTAAAAGCAAGCCAAACAATTCAACCTCAGCAACAATGGAGGGGCAGTTTCAATGCGCGACTACTCGTTTTTTCAGCCTCGCGATTTTCGAAAGAGCGCAGTCACCGAGAAAATTGTTGCCAACCCCCGACAATTAATTTATTGCGTCTTTTTTGCTACGAACTTTTTACTGACAGACTTCAAAGATGTTCCAATGTCGGGACACCATGCAATGCGTTAGCATTGGCATTTTCGAATTTCACGGCGTTTTGATTTCTTTTTATCGGCGACTTTAAATTTTGACAGTTGGTACGAGGACACCGTGTCGTTGCCACGGTGACTTTTTTTTCATGTTTTAACTATTTTGTCAGAACAGACATGATTTTTTGTCACTTTGATGAGGCAGGATGCTTAGTTTTGGGGAGTAGCACATTTTGTCTTTGAAACGTTTCTGGAAAATGTGAGGGGATAAGGGTGCTTCATTGTTGCAAATTTATGTTTTTGTCGTTTACGTTAAATTCTTACGATAAATTTTCGAAATTTTCAGCAATTTTCATTTTTTTGTGATAAGGAGTAATTTGGCGGGAACCATTTTTAGATTTGCGTCGGCGGAAGGAATAGAATCTGAGCCGTCCCGGGCAATAGGGGTCCTCCTTCGTCGGAACCCCTAAAAAGGATTAATTACGGTTGAAAAACTGTAAACACACATAACTTTAAATACCCATAACTTTATTCAGAAATAACTTTTAAATTCTTACATAAAGACATGTATTTATGAATTTCTTTTAGAAATCGAGGAAGGTAGAAGAAAAATGGAGCTTAGTCAAAAACTCGCGCTGCTCGCTGGGGGCTCCGCCCCCAGACCCCCGCATGTGTGGAGCGCGTGCCGAAGTATTTTCAGTAAGTCCGTGGTGACCAAAGGCAAATTTTCTAAGGAAGTAAATGTCCTGCTTCTTTGAAAGCTCTATTTAACCGCTTTTGACCTTATAATAGGGCTACTTTTACTGCCCAAATAGATAGCTTGTATTGCATTGGCTACTGTGGCAGTGAATGGTTGCATACAAGGTCCGGAAAATATTGAAGACTGCTTTGACAAGGATAGAGGTGAAAGGAATAAAACCTTAGGTCTCTACGACCACTCCTTGACCCCAAACATTTCCCCAAACAACTGATGATTGATTTTGAGTATGTTGCCGGTGACGGGGACCCGATTGCGGCACAGTTTCGGAAATGTCTCGACCAGACCTACCGATGGGGCGAATAAAAATTTTTAGTCGGTCGGTCCCCTTTTTTGAAGATAGAGTTGATTTTGTTGAATTTAGGCCTATTTAATCGTTTTTGAGGATGTTGCCGGTGACGGGGACCCGATAGCGGCACAGTTTCGGAAATGTCTCGACCAGACCTACCGATAGGGCGAATAAAAGTTTTCAGTCGGTCGGTCCCCTTTTTTGAAGATTGAGTGGATTTTGTGTAATATAGGCCTATTTTACCGTTTTGAGGATGTTGCTGGTGACGGGGACCCGATTGCGGCACAGTTTCGGAAATGTCTCGACCAGACCTACCGATAGGGCGAATAAAAATTTTCAGTCGGTCGGTCCCCTTTTTTGAAGATTGAGTAGGTTTGCTCGGAAACGGTGAGAAATTTGTTCCCCTTTTTTGTAGATAAAGTAGGTTTTCTCGGAAACGGTGAGGAATTTTCAACTTTTGGGATTTTTCCCAATTTTCCCATAAAATTTGGAATCGAATGGAAAAAACCGCAAGTCTCTACGACCACTCCTTCACCCCAAACATTTCTATGAGTGAGTGAGTGAGTGAGTGAGTGAGTCAGTCGGATTGGGGCATTATAGGTTCTTGATGGAGCTGCCTGAGCTGCCTTTCGGCAGCTCTAGTTTACTTCCTTCTCCTTCCCTAGATAAAACGGGTGGAACATCCTCAGCACCCCTGCCGCGACCACTCCTTCCGCGGCCGCCTCTGGCACGGCTGCCTCGTGGACGTCCACTCGGGCGAGTGCCCCGCACCTGGACGGTTATGTCTTTCGACGGTTATGTCTAACAAATATTAAGCCTGTCAAATGTTATGTCTGACAACACTTATGTGAATGAGCGATTTGGTTATTTCTGTAAAATGTTATGTCTGTAGCAATTACAATTTTAAATTCAATAATAAGTGCTTTTATATTTCAGAAATAAATGCGTTATTTCTGTCATCAGTTATGTCGATTTACAGTTATGTGGGTCAAAAGTTATGTCTGTCAGCAGCAACTCGATTTTCATAACGTTAGTCTGAATATTCAGAGCAAGAAATGCTCTGAAAAGTCAGACTTTGAAAATCCGAAATTGTTGATCTAGTTAGTCTGATAATATAGACAAGAGAATAGTCTGAAAATTCAGACCGCAAATTTTTTTTAAGCGGTAGTGCTTCTGAAATCAAAATATTCTTCGTCGGTCTTATTAATTGACCTTCCCCTTGAAGATTGAGCCCAGAATTGTACCATCAACGGGGGTAACTTGGGACACTTTTTCACGTTTTTTGAACGCCAGAGGCAAGATTCTCAACCCAGACCATTGGATCCTAACTATGTTAAAGTTTGACCCTTTCCCCATCATTTCATACTTGTCTGGTTCATTTGCCTCGATTATATTGTTTCCAAGCGGTCTCGAAAGAGTGTCCTAAGTTACCCCATGACTTGGGACAGTAGGTAACTAGCTACATTCCCATGCATCTATTGATGTTAATGGATGTAATAAATTTAAGTCACAACATGTAGACCAAGAATTCAGGCCTAGGAACTCTTGTAGGACCGATATTGGACTATATCTAGGGTTCTACGTGGAACTCTCTTTTCTACTGGTATTTTCTAGGCATTTTCTGAAAATTTCAAAATATGGATTACCAGAAGACAAATCTGCAGAGCAAGGCATCCCTTTCCATCATCAGCGTAAAATCCCAAGTTTATGTTATGTCTGGGACCGGGACCAGTCAACTCCTTGGAGGCTAGAACTGCTGGAAACATGAGGAAAAGAGTGTCCCAAGTTACCCCGTAAAATTTCGATTTTTGATAAAATGCAGGGTGGACCGAAGATGGGCAAACTATAATCAACGCCCTTTTGCGAACGTTATTGTCTGTGTATGATCTAACAGCCCAGAGAGACTAATCGGCCAAATATGCATTTCATTCCTCGCACTACGGTCAACTTGTTAAGGTTTGACATATTTTGTCAAAAACCCTATTATGTAGTTTCCCGTTTCTCAAATACTAATTGTGATGTTATGCGCCTTTTCTACCTTTCTGCGCGTGCCCTGAGGCCTCTGAAACGAAACCCTGACGCGGGTTTGACGCTAGGAACCCCCGTCGCTGAATGGCAGCACCAACAAGCTGTACAGGGCAGACTGTCCCAAGTTACCCCCGGTGTCCCAAGTTACCCCCGTTGACGGTACCGAAAATTGGTACTGCCACTGAGACTCGAACCCGGGACCTCCGGGTTACGAGCCAGCCACCTTGTCCATTAAGCTGTGTGGCGCTTGTGGGCTCCGAAGAGCGTCGAGCCGACTACATGCTGCGACTCGGCGGAGCCGTCCGATAGGGGTCCTGGCGGTCCATCGCGAAGTTACTCATCGGCTTTCAAGTAATTCACATACCATAATCGACTGTTGTGTTTAACGACACGATTTTGACTATAGAAATAAAGAGATTACAAATTGTATTCAGACCAGGCGATTAAAAAAATTTGGGCTGCGGTCTGAATCTACAAGAAAGACCACAGATTTCTGATAATTAAGAACATCAAGTCTGAATTTTCATCTGCTCGGTCTGAATACGCATTTCAGACTGTGCACTCAAAAAATTTATACTATACACTGTTAAAAATAGTCGTAAATTTGGGACATTTTGTAGAACAATTATGTCGTTTCAAAACGACATATTTTGTTACGACTCAAGTCGTAATTATACGACTTGAGTCGTAAATTTACGACATATTTGTCGCTAATTTTGATAGCGAGACGTTCCGTTTTGAAACGAATTACGTCGTAAATTTACAACTTATTCGTTAGTTTACGAACGATCGTAATTTATCTATTGAGTATGCCCTTACAGAAAAATACAGTACGCTTTTAGTCCCCAAACAGTACGCTTTTGGTACGCGTGGAAGGTCGCTTTAAGTCCCCTCCGACGAGGGGACTAGTCCGCTTCCTGGACCAAATGTACCAAAAACCGCCCTCAAAGCGTCCTAGTCCGCGCCGGACCGGTACGCTTTTAGTTCGCTTTCGGTGACGGGGGGACTAGTACGCTTTAAGTCCCCGTCCGATTCCGAGAGTCAAAAGTGAGGGCCGACACTGGGGAGGGGCTGGCA